GTAGACTCTCTGTTTTCACTAGTCACTGCTCTTAAATTGGTACGTCCCAGCATAGACTAACCCCACTATATAATTACTCTGCAACTCCCCAACTAAACATCCAACCGTAGCCTTGGCAGGTTTTCTGAGACACAGGCGATCTTCTAAGTATAATTAACTTGTGAAAATCCAAAGTGTAACTTAATTCTTACCCAAAAAAACGGTTGATTTATCGCATATATGCACGGATGATGGGATGTTAATATTGATGTAAATAAAAATAGTTACCTGCCATGTTTCTCAAAATGTAAGAGCCCTGAGTCAGGAATCGATCAAAAAGTGTCCAGTGAATACTCTGTAACGCATCTATAAAAGAAGAAGAAGAAGAAGAAAAGACACAGGCTGATAATAGGCTCTGAGAACTCTAGCGCTACTGCACTCTAGCTCCACTCTCCGTCCTTTATTCCAGGTTTAGCTACCTGACCTTTCCTTTATGCAAGTATAAAGGAAATCCTATCCAAGGCCATTAGATATTATAGTTAATTCTGCAAAAAGTACAGACAGCCTTGGTGCACAGCCGTGTCTCACTGCACTCTCCTCTACAGCCATATCACTTTTCTATCAGTAAGCACTTTCTGCTTTCAGCATGTTGAAGCTTCAGGGAGGTCACAGCCACTGAGCAGCTGGTACGTCTGGATGTTTTTGTTTAAGATTGAAATAATGAGGTGCAAATAATATAAAGGTAAAAAAATAAAGAAATAGCTGGTACGTCTGGATGTTTTTGTTTATGATCAAAACAATGAAGTTCAAATAATATAAAGGAAAAATAAATAAAGAAATTAAATTTATAATAGCGTACATTTAAAGAAATTAAATTTATAATAATGTACATACAGAATGGTTCAGGCCTGTGTGCTTTTGCAGCATGATATATAGTAGATATAGACGGATAAGAGCGGATTGTTCTGTATTTGTGAAAGGAAGTGTTAAAATCAGACAAAACTCTATGGTCAGACACTTATTTTTTTAAATCATAACCACATTTTTATTGTCATTTTTGAGCTTTTCAGACATAACTCCTGCCCTAGCCCCATCTCTATTTTAATTTACTACTCTGAAAAACTACCTCATAAATATGTATGCAATTCTATCCTTTTCCTAACTGTAATCAGACTCTAACTCCAATGCTAGCTCCGTAGTGAATTCTGAACTTCAAAATATCCCGTCACTCAACGAGAGCTGCAAAATGTCCTCACAGGACCAGTGTCTCCACTAAACTGTTTCACATGAAAATGTACGGACACACACACACAGGCGTACAACAGGCTCGTAACAGACAGACAATTCTCTGCACACACCAGAATAAATTTGAAGGTAAAAGTCGAAGTCACTCACCTGTCTGTCAGGAGGTAAACTGCAGCCTCATATTTCAAAATTAGTTTTCTAATAAAGCTTGTTTTTGTTTAATAAAATGGTTGTTTGGAGATGTGTTCCAGTCACATGTATGTACAGAGACGTCAACATGATACGCCGCAGGTGCTGTAAGGAGTCAGTCAGGTGATGCACGGTCCTGAGTAAAATATTGATGATGTCTTTTTGACTGTTTAATTGATTGGACGGCGTCAGGCCATTTGTGTGTCTTACCTCTGTGATATAAATATGACGTTTTAATTTTATTTCAACAGCCCTAATTCACAAAATGATTTTTTTATCACAACAGACTTTTTTAAAAATTGGAATTAGAATTAAAATAGTCCTCGTTCAGTAACACGTATGACAGGGGACGAATGTGTGTACAGTCAATGTTTATTCTGAGTATATGTTGACTACACACAGCAAATTACTGTAGAGATAAAGAGGGGAAATGGGGGAGACTGTAACGGACAAGGTATGGGGGGCGGTAGAGAGCAGCACCATGACAACACCATGACAACACTGATATACAAAGAACAGTCAGACGAGCTGTTACAGTGCAGTTGTAAGAATAATTTTATCAAGTTAGTTACTAGTGTCAAAAGTTACAGTATTACAACTGTAATCAGTAACGAAGGGCAACATGAGTAATGACGTCACTGGATAAGGATTTGAATGGATCTTTAAAATCTTAGAATAGATCTGACCTTAAGTCAAATTAATAGTAAAATATAAAAAAGTTAAACTTCAATTTTAAATTAATGAAATTCACGTATTGCTTAATTCACGCAGATTTATAACGAACCCTCGCATTGTTTATGTAAAAGTCGACCGGGCCGTAATCCTTAAACATTTCAACTGTTCTCACCCTGCGTGTAGTTACTAGGTTTTAGGTTGCATAGTGACATCACCTGGAGACTTTGTAGAATTGCAGTTGTAATGCAGACCTACGGTCTCAGTCGTATGTGGAATTTTGAGTGTTAATCGATACGACTCCGTAACAGCAATATATCGTTAACTTTGACAGAGCCAGACATTACGTCACAGCAGTGACTGCAATCATGACTCTTATCTCCTGTTCGTCTTGAGGCTGGTGTGAGTTTTTCCCACTTTTTCCCCCCATGTCTTTGTCCCGGACATAACTCAGATGTTCCCTGTTTGACTTTGGCTGTTTATCCTCTGTCTCACAGTTGTTTATCTTCCAGCATCACATCTGGATTCAGAGGTCCTCCATAAAAACAGCCCCGTGGTTAAGACCTGAACGCTAAGGTACATGTGTTGAACTTTGGACTCTTGTTATCGTGCAGCGAAGGCATGCAGTGACTTCAACTGATGATGGACATATGGAATTCTAAAATACTGAATATGAATTATTGTGTGATTGTGACACAGCACACCATATATACACATATATGTATGCATATATATTTACAGTTTCACATGACCAGTTGTTAAAACACATGGTTATATAAATATAAAACAATGCATTTTAACGACCGGCCTTGTTAAGCTGTCATTGTTGACACATTTTGCTACGTCATTTTTATCATATGGGTATTTGACGCCATGTCCTCTGACCTGTGATGTAAAACTGTAAAGCAAAAACAAAATGTCCCTTTAATTATTTAAACTTTACTGAAGAACTAAGTACTTCATAGCAGTGAATACTCACATCCTCTCATAACCACAAACGTCACATGTTCTGTTACATAGAGGCTGTAAAAAACAACAACAATGTTATAAAGGTGTGTGTGAAGAAAACTAATACAAAACCACTATCATTTGAACTTTGGTCTTTTGGACCTGAGGCCAGAGCAGTGATCAAATCATCCCCTGTCTGGTTGAAAAGGACACCTGTGATTGGCCGGAGGGGTTTCACACCCCCTTGTCATCCCCCCCAACCTCACCTTTGTGTCTACTTTTTAACTTGGCAGCAACACTGGTGGATTTCACTCGAGGCATTCGGTCCCGGTCCCACACCTGACAGCAACATGTCTGACAAAGGAGCCTTCGATACCAACGTCGTGACCCTCACCAGGTTTGTCCTGGAGGAGGGCAGGAAGGCACAGGGCACAGGTGAGCTCACCAACCTGCTCAACTCCATCTGCACAGCTGTCAAAGCCATTTCCACCGCTGTCAGGAAGGCTGGGATCGCTAACCTGTGAGTAACCCTTCCTTTTGTAGCTTAAACAGCTAATACATTAAACTGCTTTAATATTAATGTCGTCACTCAAATTTTTTAATTTTTTGATAGTATTTTGAGATATGTTAGTTTGTTAATCCTAACCCTTGCAGCTGCTTGATGGTGACAGAGATATTTTGTTTTTTCATTTTTAACCACTGCTGAGTCTGAGAGTTGCATCAAACTTGACCTTTGCCCTCCTGGCAGATATGGTATTGCCGGAAGCACAAACGTGACAGGGGACCAGGTGAAGAAGCTGGACGTCCTGTCCAACGACCTGGTCATTAACATGATCAAATCCTCCTTCTCCTCCTGTGTGCTGGTGTCAGAGGAAGATGAGAAGGCCCTCATCGTGGACCCAGACCAGAGAGTACGCACACACTGTTCTCATGTCGCTTCGTGCAGACTTTTATTTTGACATCACTATAATATTTATTTCCTGTCTTCTAACAGGGCAAGTACATCGTGTGCTTCGATCCATTGGATGGTTCATCAAATATCGACTGCCTCGTGTCTATCGGAACAATATTTGCCATCTACAAAAAGGTTGGTATTAGTACTACAGTAAACTTCTGAACATATATCTTGGGTCTGTAGGGTTCAGGCCTCAGTCAATCATATTCTAGTTGCATTCATTCTATGAAGGCACAGATACAGGGTCTCTTGTCGTACACACACATTGTAGATCACCAGCCGTTAGGAGGCTGCAATTACAGTAGTTCACCACTAAGTGTCAATTGTGTTAGTTGCAAAACCAATCACCTCAGGGAATTGGTCAGTAGTAAAATGAACCCATTTCTTATTTTTTATTTTATTAGTGACATCAGTGAGTCCAACTATCTGTTACTTTAAGCCATACAGTGTTACCGTGGCAACTGGACATATTTAGCACATAATCCACTGTGTTTAAGGGCAATCTGGGCCAACGTATAAATATGGCTTTTAAGAATTTTAACATCTACATTGATTCTTATTTTATATCAACTATATCATATATGCTTTTTTGTTGTTGTCTCCCCTACTGGCCATCGGAGGTATAGCTCTCCTGGTGGCAATTACTACATTTGAAAATTGCTAAAAAAAATAATAATAATAATAAATAAATAATAAATTTATTATTATTATTATTATTATTATTATTATTATTATTATTATTATTATTATTATAAAACCACCCTGACATGAACAGATAATAAATCGCTGTTCTTGTCGGAATTAGTTTTCACATCACACACTGGCATCATTTACGATTAATTTTTTTAATGGTTTTGTATCTTATGATTACATACCTGGGGAAAAAAATCACCTACTAATTTGTACCCATTTGATAGGATATGTCGTAGTTTCCCTGTGAACGAAACTGTATGAAGGTAAAGTGTAGTTTAATGTGTGAAGGACCGGTGAACATCAGTAATCTCTTTGCTCTTTGAGAAAATTTCAGGAAATACTTGTATTTCCTGACATATAAATATAAATGCTGTTTTTATATTAACTTATACCTGGAAAACTAATGTATCCACTATAGAACAACCTGTCTGTCATGTGAGTGCTCTGACATATACAGTAAGTGCTGGTTCCTAAGAGCCTCTTTTTAGTTGTGAAAGAATAGTCTATAAAAACCTTTGACATTTTCCCTGGTTTTGTAAATTATTTTCTGTTCTTCTACAGACAACCAATGGTGAGCCCTGTGAGCAGGATGCCTTACAGCCTGGACGGAACATTGTTGCTGCTGGATATGCTCTGTACGGTAGCGCCACCATGATGGTCCTGTCTACCGGTCTGGGAGTGAACTGCTTCATGCTCGATCCTGTAAAATAAGTTTAAATTCAGTAATTAATGATATTCATATTTAATTTGAAAAAAGTGTTTAAACGATGATATTTACGTTTTGAATGGTTCTTTTTTCCCCCTATAGGCGATAGGTGAATTTATCCTGGTGGACCGTGATGTGAAAATAAAAAAGAAGGGAAAAATCTACAGTTTGAATGAAGGCTATGCACAACACTTTTATCCAGATGTGACAGAGTACCTGCAGAAGAAGAAATTCCCAGAGGTAAAGGAACGGTTCAAACGTTTAAACTGTTCTGCATTTTTAAAAAGGTAAACACCAAACAAAAACCAAATATTAAATTAGACTTTTATTTCCCTCGACTGTAGGATGGTTCCGCTCCATATGGCAGTCGCTACGTTGGCTCCATGGTGGCTGATGTCCATCGTACTTTGGTGTATGGAGGAATCTTTTTATATCCCGCTAACGTGAAGAGTCCGAAGGGAAAGGTGACTGGATGACGTTCCTGTTCCTGACTCTATTGTTCCAGCTTGTATCAAGTCAAGAAGTTCTGAGACGGATGTTGAAATCCTAAAAAGTTTGATCCTTCATCATCATACAGCTTGATTTCTGTTAGAGTCAGGATCTGAATTTGATCGGGATTTTCAACCCTCAAAAATCAGAGCAAATATAAAATTTCACTTTTAGATATTATCGTGATATAAGTACTGAAAAAATTGAGAAGAACTGGATCTCAGTTCATACCTTTCAGTCTTAACCCCAGAATTCTACAAAGAAGGAATTATCTAATGAAAACCACTCACAGATGTTTTAAGACTTAAAGTTTTAGAACTTTTTGACTTCCCCTCATGTTGCATCTTCATAACTCACTGGTCATCTTTCTGAATCTTGCCTTGAAGCTGAGGCTGCTGTATGAATGCAACCCCATGGCCTTCATCATGGAGCAGGCAGGAGGCTTGGCCACCACTGGAGCCATGAACGTCCTGGACATCCAGCCCTCCACCATCCACCAGCGAGTCCCCGTGGTCCTCGGATCCCCTGATGATGTGCAAGAATATATTTCAATTTACAAGAAACATAACAAATAAGGTACCAGCATCAGTTACAGTATTCAGTGACTTTACAGACAACAAGTCAAGTCTGTCAGCATCTGTCAACCAGAACTGGCTGAATGAAAAAAATCATAAATTTGTTTTCCTTTTATTTCATCAGCTGAACTGAAGAAGATTCCAGAACGACTGGACCTCAGGACACCTCTCACTGCTCTGACTGCTGTACCTTCTTGTTCCTCTCTGTATTTTTTTTAATGAAGTAAAAAAAAAAAAATTCTTAAAATGTGTTATTCGTCTGTTGTTTAAGGTATCAACGTAGCTTGTTGCCAAATCGGTGTAGATACTTTAACTGCAGCTCATATATTTAAGATCGTGTGTGGTGTATTGATGTTGAAAAAAAAATGTATATCAATAATTGTTTTGTTTTATCAATTATTAGACATATAAATTCCAGGCGACCCGTGGGGTTGTGACCCCAATGTTGAACAACACTGAATTATTCAATCATGTTGTACCATATAGGTACATGCATTTAATCAAAGTACCACAACATATATGCATATTTATGAGTATAATCCGTTGTTTGGGTGGATATACCGTATTTTCCGGACTATAAGTCAGAATTTTTTTTGGCTGAGTTTGCGACTTATACTTAGGTGCGACTTATATATTAAAATATAAATGTTCTCGTTGTGTTATTTTCACAGCCATTAGAGGGCACTGGTGAAACTTATACTCCGGAGCGACTTATACTTTTTTTTCCTTCTTCATTAGGCATTTTTCTGCTGGTGCGACTTATAGGGCAGAAAATACGGTATATTTATTAACTTATAGTCCGGAAAATACGGTATATTTATTATTATAAATGTGTATGTGAAAAGTAGCTCCGAAGACAAAACAGTGTGGACACCACTGCTCTACAACACTCTACGTTCACTTTCTGCTGGACTTTTTTTTTTTTTTGCCCACATCCATTTGCCGCCTCGCTCGGTGCGGCCTCAGCTGCACTTCAGTCCCTCAGAAACTCCAAAAATGCGTTCCCTCTTTTGCTGCAGCTCTAATGAACCTTAAATGCCCACAGAGCCAAACAAAGAGCCCCAGCAGAACGCCTGCACAAATGTCCCATCCAATCAATCAAGTTTATTTACAGAAGCAGCCATTATGGTCCGCTGTACAACAATGTCTTCACAGTCAGGACGGCCTTCCTGTGTGGCGCAACAGCTCCCAACGAAGGAAAACAATGGCGTGTGTGTATGATTTGAAACCAGATCTGATTTTAATAATGTACAAAAAGGCAATAATAACAGAGCGCTGTGGATTATTGGTTACTGATGTCATTTGGAAACTTGGCCGCTAGCTGCAGTTTTACTGCCCTTAAACTCACTCATGTTGGCGCTTTAGAGACTTATAATGTGAGAATGCCGCGTGAGTCATTTAAAAGTTAGGTTATGGGAACCAAAAGCAGATGTTTGATCAGAAATGTAGGGCCAACTCCTCCGTACGTACGGAGAACTCGGCGTAATTTATGTTCCTCCAGTGCACTGGATGGAATCCATATTGTCTGGCACTCACTAAGAACTGAACCACTTGGCTTTTTCATGTGTGTTTGTCACAGTCAGCCCTCCAGGGTCTCAGTCCCCATGAGACGCACAAACACTCGCACGTTGCAGGCACACATGTTTATTTTCGATTCTGTTCAGACTGTGTATGATTATAGGTTACTGAGTCAATATTTAGATTTTGCAGGAAAAGCACAGCCCAGCCTGTTTATTTTTCCCTCGCTACTGTGTGTGGTGAGCGTGTGTGTACAGTGTGTATGTGAAAAGCACGGAGCTGCATCTGAATAATGGCTGCGCTATTAAAAACAGTTGTTGTTGTTGTTGTTGTTGTTGTTGTTGACAGTGTGAGGCGACATGAGGAGACACGGGTGACATGTTTAGGGTGTCGATGGACCACACGTTTCGCAGCCT